GTGGTTCAGGTGTTATATCAAAAAAACTATTGGACAAAAACAAACCAGAAACAGCAAGGCAAAACAAGAAATGAGGCAAGAATGTACTGTACAAGCAAAGAATTTGTGGGTGTGTGCATGGCTTTTGGTCAGATTTCTTTGCTTGACCTTTCTACTCTTTAGCATCCATATATCCACTCATATTTAAAAGTGTAAGGAAAATATGTATACTGCGAGACAAGAATGTGGTCTGTAGCAAGCTTACGCTGTGCAGATTACAATTCCAATATCCATATATATTCTCTGGTTACACACATCCACACTGAGTCTTAACACACTGTAGGTTAAGGTTACTTTGCAGTGACTTGTATATTTTGCAGTTTATAACAGGACTTTAAACTGCTGGTTGCAATTATTTTAAGTCTCTAGCATGGTGGCCTGCTAAAGCAATATGTTTAAGGGTTTTTTCCTGTATATATTTATGGAAAGGGAGAGGTGATGTGGGGCACACACACGGACAGTGAACACAATTCACACTCGGGCTTATGCCCAACTGCCAAGCTTGGCATGCACTATGAGGGGCATAGGGCTCCAGCAGCCCTAAAGAGATCACCAAGTGATGATTATGTCTGAGTTTAAAACTTTTTAAATTTGCTGAATTTTTGAACTGAGAAAAGGGGGAATGAGAGAAGAAAGGGCCTTAAGGGGGGTTTTGTTGTTGGGGTTTTTTTATTTTTTTCCTCCAGTTATTATTTTGTAAATCTTTCTCATGAGCTAATTTCTTTGCCTATGCTTTAAGGTAAATGGTCCAAGTGATTCCTTTGTGTCTTTAAGTGAGCCCTTTAGTCTCCCTTCTTACCTGTCTTTGAACTTCATTGCTTCTCTCTTACCTTTTACTAGGCAGAATAATCAGAAATGCTCAGTGAACTTTCCGTTTCCACAGAAACACTAGAAACTTGTCAGTGTATTTCAGGATGTTTTTTTAACCTGTTCAAACATTCCTCTCTCTCTAGTTAATTAACAATTAATGTAGCCACCAAGGAAAGCTGTGCCAGGAAAGAGGGACGTATTGGTACAAAGTCCAATTGACAATGGCCTGGTTCCTTCTGCCAGTTATTTACAAAGTCACAAAGGATCAGACTGAGAGACACGCCGCTTGCTGACTCCTACTCTTCCTTCAGCTTAGTAATCTCCTAACATCACGATAGGGGCCAGGAGAAGAGACCTCCTAGAATGAAGATTTCACTGAAGAAACTGGAAGTCAAAGGTAAGTATAGAAGTTTGGAGTCACCTCCATCTATGAGGTGACACAGTGCCTTTAGAAAATGAGAAGAGGACTCCAGGCATGAGCACAAGCCCTTTGGAAAATCCATAGTTCCCAGGGCAAATTGATGCTGCTCTGGTGTTGTGGTACAGTTCTCTGAAAGTAAATGTGAAGTCTTAAAGGTGAAAGACTTTTTCTCTAATAATTTTTTGGTTTGGTGTTGGTGGTTTGGTATTTTTTGTTGTTTTGGTTTTTTTTTTTTTTTTAAGTAACTGGCCTATATGATGAGCATATATGTTGAGTTCTTGTACCTCAGTTAAAAAGGAAGTACCTTTTTAAAGCATTCTGTCAGGGCCTTGTGGGTTCAAATTGCCCAAATGGCCCTGACTAGCCCCACCTGGGACCCTCACGCCCCTGCCCATGGGCCCAGGAGCCCATTTAAGCTCAACTCTAGGCCCTCAGCCCCTGCCTGAGCTATGCCAAAGGAGGCTCAGGCCCATACCCCATAGACCCTGCGGATCCAGCCCCTGACCAGCAGACTGGTTTCCTGGCTTGGTTTTGGTCCTGCCTTGTCCCTGTGGACCTGCCCAGCAGCCACCGGACCAGACCTGATCTGACCTGTGGGTTGGCTTCCCAGCTTGGCCTCAGACCTGTCTCATCCCATGGACTTGCTGGGTGGTCTGGATGGGGGTTGACCCTGGTGTGGTCCTGAGTGTGGCCAGCCCTGCTTGCCTCACTCAGGTACCGAGGGACTGGGCCCTGGCTGCTGAGGCCCCTACCCCACCAGCTGTCCTCTCCCCCTCAGGTGCCAGCTGCTTGTCGCTTGCAGAGCCACCAGCCCTCGCTGCTCTCTGACAGGTTCTGTGTGATTGTCTCTACACTGAGAAATGGAGGCATCCACAGCCGCTCTGAATTCTAGGCCCAGTTTATGCCTTTTCTGAAGGAAAAAGAAAAAAACTGAGGAGGAGGGAATCAGAAACGTGTGTTTCCCACTAGCAAAAATACTAAACATTTCTAAAACTGCACAGTGGCATAGGATTTTGCAAGAACAGATGTGTGGGGAGATAGGATGAGGAAAGAGTGGGTTGTTGTTATGTACAGGAAGAGAAAACAATGACAGAATGGCAATAAGAGGTTGCTTAACCCTCTGAAACAGGTTGTTTAGCAAGAAAAATCACACTTTTTTGTTTAAATAAAAGGCAAAAAGAATACCAGAGAAAAAGATGAGAATTAAGCTGCTGCCCAGCTGTGTTACTTCATTCATCTTGATAATTTTGTACGACACAAGTATAAACTAATTTCACTTTTGTTTCTGCCAAGGTTTCCTCTCTAGTTCATATGTACTGGTTGCAGTCACCAAAGAATAATGTGCCACTAGTGTTATAAATTCCATTGTCATTATTACCTAAAGAACTTTTAGTACAATTAAATAAAACACACAGGAAGTGCAAGATAGTATAAGACAACAGAGTGGATAAGATAGTGCCAAGTATTTAATTTCCTTTTGAATTACGTAAATGCAAATTATTAGTGTAGGGAAATTACTAACATTTGATTATTAGGAAAACACAGTTGGCAGCCAAATTTAACTGACAAAATTCTGTTTAATATGAATCTTTCTTGTGCACAGAAAAGCCACAGACAGCTAGTTAAAATTGTCTTAGTGCAGGCTTTTCTAGTTCTCACACTAAAACCAAGAGACTTGTTTTAAGATTTCCAGTCAGGTGGCTACAGTGTTTGCCTGAAAGTTCTCTAGAAGTGACTGTGTGTACACTGCAGCTCTTGCTGCTCAAGTGCTTAACCACCTGAATCTTCTCAGGAGGGAAAAACCAAGACGACTGTAGTGCCTTTAGGGAGGGGTCCCTCTTGACGTTAGTCTACTGAAGATTATAATTAATATTAGATAGCTGTAGCATTATTCACTCTAAACCTTTTTTAAAAAACAAACAAAAAAATTTAAAACCTTACCTAAAGCTCTTATAACATATACATTTAGTGATAACCGGGAAAAAAAGTTATTTATTGGTGTGGTTTTGAAAACTTCATTTTCTGTAAATGAGAAATTCAGAGATTGTGATAGTTTCTTAGTGACATTTATTGCTTATGCTGCTGAGCAGTAAAAACAAGCTGAATACAGGGAAGATTTTACTGCATTGCTAACTAAACACTTTAAGTCCACACTTTTTCCAGAAATTAGCAATTTGGTTCCATCGACTCACATGCACCGGATTACACAGGCTAACCACTTAAAACTGTGCTATTCCAGTCTGTGTATCTAGCACCTGAACAATCTCTGGGACCAGAATGACAGCCTCAGCCCTACTGAGTATTGAGTAGTGTTGTGGTTTAACCCCAGCCAGCAACTAAGTCCTACACAGCCGCTCGCTCACTCCCCCCCGGTGGGATGGGGGAGAGCATCGGAAGGGTAAAAGTGAGAAAACTCATGGGTTGAGATAAAGACAGTTTAATAGGTAAAGCAAAAGCTGCACATGCAAGCAAAACAAAAGACAGGAAAAGTGGTGGTGATTAATGTGAATGTATTGGAAAGTGTGGGGACCTGGGCATGATGTAGATGGTATAGAATAAGGGGTGGATACTCTCTTGGTTTTGGCAGGGATAGAGTTAATTTTCTTCCTAGCAGCAGGTATAGTGCTGTATTTTGGACTTAGTATGAGAATAATGTTGATAACACACTGATGTTTTCATTGTTGCTAAGTAGTGCTTACACTCGTCAAGGACTTTTCAGCTTCTCATGCCCTGCCAGGTGCACAAGAAGCTGGGAGGGGCACAGCCAGGACAGCTGACCCAAACTGGCCAACGGAATATTCCATACCATGGGACATCATGCTCAGTACGTAAACTGGGGGAAAGCTGGCCGGGGGGGCTGCTGCTCAGGGA